GGAGGGGAAATTTTGTGGCGTGGTGTGTGCATAGGATTGCCAGGTCCCCCCTGGCTGCCAGTGGAGGATGGAGGGGTTGGGTTGCCAGCTCCAGGTTAGAAAACTCCTGGATATTGGGAGATGGAGATTGGGGAGGTACCTCAGTGGGGCACAATGCCACAGAGTCCACCCTCCAATCCAAAGCATCCATTTCCCCCAAGGGAATTGATCCCTGTAGTCTGGAAATGAGGTGTAATTCCAGGGGATCCCCAGGTCCCACCTGGAGGTTAGCATCCTTATGTGCGCATGAAGGGTTTGGTTGGAGAAACCCAGGCTGGGAACTTGGGGATGAGGGAAAGTATATGGAATGGATTTCATGGTTCCCTGAATTCTAATTCACAGCTTTACCAGAACCCCCTGCAAGTTATGGCGCACTAAACCCAGCGTAATCCACCAGCCATGGATGCTGACTCAACAGAGGCTTGGTAAAGCAATCCTGGGGCTAAGAGAAAGAGGCAGTTATCATAAACCAGAAGGCCACACCATTTGCCTTGGAGGTTGAGAGGTTCTGCAGGCTTCTTATATGTCTGCATTATTCCACTAAGGAAGGGGTCTTTGGAGAAATACTTTCTTGCCCACCAACCCATTTGCATCCACTGCACAGCACTGTTGTGACCCGAGACAGTGTTAGAACTGGATTTAATTTTGATGGTGGGTTCCTCATATGTTGGGACCTTGTATCTGCATCCTTAAAACCCAAACCCCTGAAAATCAAAACTAGATATGAAAATCATGATTTGCATCTAGTTGACCAACATCTTCAAGTTTCTGCTTTCTCTCTATCACTTCTGCCCTTTTGGTGTGCGTGAGCAGTCTTCATTTGCTGACACAATTCATGTTTATTTTAAGAGATGAAGCTGTCATTAGAATGTGCTTGTGAATTGTTCCCCTGAGTTGCCAACATTTACAGTTGTGGAACTTGGCAGGTTAAAATACTTGGCACTTTCAGTTTAAAATTAATCAATATTAAATATACGTATTAAAGGGGTTTTTTCAGAGTTGCCATTTTGCAGATGGAAACACACCATTTCCCTTCCCTTGCTACCTTTGAGGGCATGAAACTGTATGAAGTAGGGCCTTCTTGGTGTTCGCACCAACTCTATGGAATTTACTTGTCAGGGGAACGTAGCCCACCAGATTCATCTCTGGCCACTGCTAACATGTTCTTATTCTGCCTGGCAATTAGGGATATTTGGGATGACTCTGCTGTACAACTCTGTTGATCTTTTGAGTATTATGGGATAGTGGGGCTGGTCTAATCTTATTCTGTCTTTGCTTCTAGTTTTCTACATAGTTTGTATGGGTTGTTTTCAGTGGTGGAAAGTGGTGTCAAGTCACAGCGGATTTATGGTGATCCCATAGGGCTTTCAAAGCAAGAGACAAACAGGGGTGTTTTGCCATTGGCTGTCTCTGTGTAGCAACTTTGGACTTCCTTGATGGTCTCCCATCCAAAGACTAACCATGGCCGACCCCACATAGCTTCCAAAATTTGGCAAAATTGGGCTAGCACGGGCCATCCAGGTTAGGACAGATTGTTTTTAGTTCTTAACATTAGGGCTCTCAAATAACGTAAGCATTTTCAGTGGATAAATAATTTACCATCACCAATTCAACGATTAAAGGTAAATGCATTTGCATAGTACCCAGACCTTTGTGCCACATTAAAGAAAAACCTAAAATGACTTGCTATTTAATGAGGAAAGCAAACACTCCTTCTTAGAACATTTTATTTTTTTCCCCACGTTCTTGACCTGGTACAGTAGCACAAAAGAACTTAACATTTAAAAAGGGCATGTCCTTAGCTTTCCGGCCCCCAACTTGGTCCTCAGAGACTAATAAACTTCAGTTAAGTAACTTACCAATTAAATAGATTAAAGCACACATCCCTAAATTTTACGGCTCGCTGCCTTTGAACACTTGGTGGAAAAGCAGTATGCCATTTCTGAAAAAGACATTAAATAAAAACAACTGGTCTGGCACAATTGATACCAGGTAGCAATTGCTATCTTGGGGAAGCTACTTTCTGGCGTAGAGAGGAGAATTTAGGTCAGTCAGACAGTTCTCCAACAGATGAAAGCACCCCGTGGGATCTTGAGGAGCCAGTGACTCAAAGGAAATGGAACACCTACGTAATCACTGTTGCCCCATTGATAGTTAATTACCTAGTGGAGTAGGTCACCTGAGGGAGTGGTAAGAGTTGCCATCCCTTGCAGAGTTTCAGTCAAACTTGGAGGGAGGCCTTGTGACTGAACAAGAAGAACTGGACTTAATGCAAAAACAATCAGGTGGCCCTTAGAGTGTATGCTTTGGACAGTTTGTTGAGACGTCTCCTGTCTGCTGGCATGACTTCTTTCTCCTCCTGGACGAAGAAGCAACGGGTTGATTCAGCAGAATCCCAACAGACGAAGCCATTGGGTTGGATCCAGACTACATTTTCTAGTGGCAGAATGGAACTTTCTCCCCTCCCTGCACACTGCAGCCCACTGATCTCCATGCAGTGCTGCTCCTCTGGGGGTAGGGATGCCAGCCTCCAGGTGGGACCTGGGGATCACCTGGAATTGCAGCTCATCTCCAGGCTACGCAGATCAGTTCCCCTGGAGAACGTGGATGCTTTGGAGGTGGACTCTATGGCATTGTACCCCACTGGGGTCCTGTCCTCTCCAGGCTCCATCCCCAACCCTCCAGGTGTTTCCCAACATGGATCTGGTAACCCTACCCCCCCCATCCCCCACCAATGGCTGGGGGTACCTGGCAAACCTACCTGGGGGACAGGGGATCTTCAGTGTGATCTGCATCGGGAAGGGAGATTTGGTGGAAATTGTCTGTATCCAACCCTTTGATTACGGTTTAGGCAACTTGTTAGCTCATCTTAATGAATGTGGCCAAGATGTTCAAATGGAGTCTATGACCAGGATAACCTTTCTGTTTTCTCCTACTTGCAAAAACACATCGCGAGCCTGTGGCAAGGGTTGTTCTTTTTCACAGAATTATCAAAGCTGTCATGCGTTGTTTGAGGCACTTGATAAATAATCACAAATAATTACGAACTGTCAAGGCACTTATGAATAATCAATATTATTACTTATTATTGTCAGAGAGTCCAAAAAGTCATGTTTCCCTGCCCAGTGTTCCCTCTAAGCTGAGTTAGTGTGAGCCAGCTCACAGTTTTTTAGCCTCCGGCTCACACGTTTTTGTCTTAGCTCAGGAAGGAGGGCTCCAGAGCAAACTAATTTATGCAGCAGCCAAATCGCTCGCTCACAGCTTTAATGCCAGTAGCTCAGAAAGTAGAATTTTTGCTCACAAGACTCCACAGCTTAGAGGGAGCATTGCCTGCCACCCAACGGGCATATGTTTTTTCTTTTTCAACATAAGAGTTGCGTAGTTGGATTGGGCCACAGGACCAGCCTGGCATTCTTTTTCGCTTCAATCTTTCTTGTTTGTTTTCTCGGTTCAGAAATTATAGAAAAATTGCTACTGAATTTGCCCAGAGAATGAAGTCCAAACCAGATAAGATGTTGGAAGTTCTGTGTCTGGAGCATCCCAGGATTTTTAAAAATGTAGTTGTATCAGGGACATGGGGAGTGGTTTCAGACTAGAGTCATGGTGTAAGGAGAAGGGGGGGGGTTTAAACCTCTCCCCTGTGCTATTTTTCCTGATCTAAAGCTCCTCTGGGGAGCCACCATTTGTCCAGGTGTGTGACTAACATGCAGGCACCCATAAATGAATTCTTATCTTTCTCCATTGGATTACATAGCAATTCCCTGGGGCAATTTTAGACCAGGCCAACAGTGCAGGGGGGAAAGTTTAATCTCCCTTCCCTCAAAACACCCAGCATCTTCTCTGCTTTCGTCCCCTGACTCTCAAAATGGGGGAATGTTTTCAGCCATGTTTTGTAACTGCCATGGTATGAAAGCATCTAGGTTGTGCAGGGTCCCTTCTTCAGATACAAAGCATTTGTTGCCAGTTTTTGTAACTCAGGTTTGGAGATGCTTTTTGGTATTATTGTCATATGATGCAATAGGGCAGGCCAGGGGTTCCTATCCCTCCTGAGTCTGTCGGCACCTTTAGAATTGTGGTGCGCATGACCACAAAGTGGCTGCTGCAGGATGCAAGCCACAAAATGGTATGAAGGGAGGCAGAGACAACCACACACACACATGGAAGTCAAAGTGTGGGGCACAAGAGGAGTAATTTTAAAAAAGACACTTGGAAAGAAAGAGAATAAAACCAACATTGTAGTGGCAGCTGTTGCTGAAACATTATCTTAATTTGCAAGGCTAGTCAGATCTTCAGTGGTCAATCAGAAACCCTGCCAGATAGGAGCCCCACCTGGCCCCACCCACTTTCTTAAAAACACTTGGCAGGCACCAAGAAAGGTACTGGCATACACCATGGCACCCACAGGCACCATGTTGAGAATCCCTGCAAATAGGTGCTGCTGCTTCCAGAAATGCATCCTCCAGAAACAAACAATGAGAGTGCAATATCTTTTTTTACTAGAGTGACAGTAGACTTAGTACGGATCATCACACAAGCAAAAATTTCTTTGAAAGTGCTTTTAGCTCTTTGAAGACAACTAGCACCTGCCTCTGGCCTTACAGATCACAATATTAAGGAATATCAATACATCAGGATATGGAGGTTTGTTGTTGTTGTTTTTTTAATGAAGATCTTGGACTGGTTTATATAATAAGGGAGCATGTGACAGAGGCCAACACAACTGGGCTATCTTGATATTCTTCTTAATCCCCAACCTTCCCCCCATTTCTCATATCACATCCATGACAAAGAAGGTTTTGTTATGAGAATGAAGGTACACTTGTTCTTTTGAGGGTGGTCTCTTCTCACTTGGTGGAACTTTTAACCTACTTTCTCATGTTTTGCTGAAGCACATGGAGAGCTGCTTGTGAGAGACGCGGTGGCTAGTTTGTAATCTGTCCCATGGAAGACCTGCACACCGACCTCACTGCTGACTGGAGGGAAGAGAGCGACCGTCCTTATGGATGAGGGTCCCACTGTGGTGTCGGTTGTATCTTTCGCTTCTGACCTGAAGAACCTCCTTACATCTCTTCCCAATGAGGTAGGACGCTTCGATGAGGCTGAGAAGGATGCAGATGCAGGCTGTCACAACCATGAACAGGGTGAAGATGTTCTTCTCCGTTGGCCGGGATATGTAGCAATCGACGATGTTAGGACAAGGTGGTAGGAAACACTTTACCAAAAGGGGAAGAGTGTAGTTTGGGTAGATGATGTAGAAGACAGTGAGAAACACGATGTCTACGGCAGCCTTGAAGATGAGGCTGAAGAGATAGGTCCACCACAAGCCCCCACGCTTCTTGCCCACATCAGGAAAGAGCCGCCTGCCATTATCTCCATATTTCTCCCTGAACCTTTTCTCTTTTGCTTCTCGATAGGCGACATGCATGATAACCATCAAGGAAGGGCAGGTGACAAGGATCAGCTGAAGGGCCCAGAGGCGGATATGGGAGACTGGGAAGTAGTGGTCAAAGCAGACATTGGGGCAGCCCGGCTGCTCCGTATTGCAGTCAAAGTCTTTGCTATCATCGCCCCACACTTTCTCAGCAGCCACGAGGTAGACCAGCAGCCGGAAGATGAAAACGACGGAGAGCCAGATGCGTCCAAAGGCTGTGGAGTACTTGTTAACACCACTTAGGAGTCCTTCAAAGACTCCCCAGTTCATGGTCTCTGGTTTCCGTTAACGATCCCTGAAACAAGATAGGTAGTGGAAGTCAGAAGAGGTGACTAACTAACGTGGCCTACGCATAGAACCCCTGGGCAGTTGGCCAATGGCATCTCATTGCTTTGCTAGCCCTGAGTCACCTCATGGAGGTGGGAACAAAGCAAGGGCTGCATCCACACCTTCTTGGATATTGCACGATAGCAATCATTAGCGATTGGATTGTCTTGTTCACTTGAAAAAAGGCAGTTGTGAATGTCTGCTATCGGGCAAGGATTGCATCGCATCCATGAGGTGTGGAGGTAACTGAGGATCATTTGGGCTTTCCCCCTTCACTCTGGCTCCTGCATGTCCACCCCTTAAACCTGTACTCCTCATTTTCTTTAGAGACCTATTCTGCCGTTCCAGCCACGTTTATCGAGGAGCTGAGTATTGTAGTGCTTAAAGACAGGGCTATTTTTGGGTAGGAACGCACAGGAACGGAGTTCCGGCTGGCTCCTGAGTTGGCCAGCAGGAACTCATTAGCATAATAGGCCACACCCAACAGCAGAAATTCATTAGGATTGGCTACATTCAGGGTGTGTGGCCTAACATGCAAAGGAGTTCCTGCTACAAAAAAAGCTCTGGGTTTTGACAACAAGGTAAACAGAATAAGAAGCAAAAGGGGTGTGTGGCTGGATGACCACACTTCTGGTAACATGGGGGTGCGGTCTAATATGCTAATGTGCTGTGCTGTCAAGGGTGTGGCCTAATATGCTAATGAGTATCTGCTGTTGGGTGTGGCCTATTATGCTAATGAGTTCCTGCTGGGCTTTTTCTACAAAAAAAGCCCTGCTTAAAGCGTTGGAGTAGGACGGGGGGGGGGGAGGTTTGAACCCCTCACTCTGCCATGGAAGCTTGCTGGGTGACCATGCTCCAGTCACACATTCTCAGCCTCACCTACCTTACAGGATTGTTGTGAGGATACAATGGAGAATGATGCAAGGTGCTTTGGGTCTCCACTGGAAAAAAGGTGGGGTATAAACAAACAAACAAATTAATATATAAACCACCCATCATTTCAGCCAGCCATTTTAAAAGCTCATATCCAGTTAAAATAAAAACAATACTCTCCTATGATAGGCCATGTTACGATATGGGAAGGGAAAGGCCATGGCTTAGTGGTAGAAGAACATCTGCTTGGCATGCAGAAAGCCCCAGGTTCAATCCTTGCCATCTCCAGTTACAAGGATCAGGTAAGCTGTTGATGTGAAAGACCTCCCCCTGAGACCCTGGAGAGTTGCCGCCAGTCAGAGTAGACAATCCTGACCTTGATGGACCAAGGGTCTGATTCAATATAAGGCCCCTCCATGTGTTCATGACTTCAATATCTGGAATTTGTTGGACTGTGAATTCTCTCCTCCAAACACAAAAAGATTATTGAAGACCCCACTCAGGAATCCCCCAGGTCAAGGCTGCCAGAGGTTGTAGCCCTCCCCTCCTAGGAGGAACACAATGGGGGAACCTGCCTCCAGCCACTGGCCAATGCATGGGCAACTGCAGGGAGCTAGCATTCCTCTCCCCCCCCCCCACTAGAAAAAAATCTTCTCCAACTGGCAATTGCTCCAGAAAAGAGGAGAATGGGCACTCTGGACTTGGCCAGAAGAATAAAGGTGGCAGGAGAATAGTAAAAAGCTCAGTAGCACCTTTAAGACTAACAAACTTTACTGTGGCATAAGCTTTCGAGAAACACAGCTCTCTTTGTCAGATGCATGGAGGTGGCAGGAGAGTTGCCCTATTCTCACCCCAGTGAGAATACTGAAAGCCGGTGTGGTGCAGTGGTTGGACTACCATCTGCAAAATGTCAGGCATTGGTTTCCACTCTTTGAAATGATCAAGGAACCTTCCAACCAATCAGTGACTGAAATTCTGCACTCGGTACAGAAGAAAGTCAGACGTTTATGGAAGCTTTGGGGGCAGGAGATGCCACAGAAGGATACTGGGTCCTTTTGAAATGGAGGGGATTCAAGACAGAAGGGGGTGGTGGAGCTAATTAGGGGGGGGGGGAGAAGAGCCTGGCAGGGCTGCTTTTTCCCCTGCAGACTCTCATCTTGGCAGGAAAAGAGTCTGAGAAGTTAGAACAAAAAACTTTGTTTGCAGAAGTCCCCAGAGGGCTCATAGGCTGCAATAATTCATCTTTTGTCAGTATAACCACAGAGATTTACTAATTCATCACAGACCAAACACCATGAATATAACAGATGAAGAACTTTGCTGAATCAGACCCAAGTGCCAGCCAATCCGGTATCCTATTTCTAATCCCCATGCCTCCAAATGCTCCAAAGCAAACTTTGTAGTTGGTAGCCTTCCTCTGGTTGTCTCCCCATCTTCAAAGATATACTGCTTCTGCAAATGGATGTTCTGTATAGCTGTCATGCTTCCTACTTTAGTATGTCT